CATGGAGTCTAGTGTTGTTCTGGTCTTCGTTGGCAAGGACCAAAAGCGGTTCTTAATTCATACGGAGTTAGCTAGCTCCTTCCCAGTCCAGATTCTTCAACTTCCTATAGCGGAGGAATTTGACGAGGTAGTCTTTGGCCGGTGCTACGAGTTTATATATACCGGTGATTACTCCGTCCCCCCTCCGATCTACGACGGCATCCGCAATCAATCAGCCACAGAATTTGTGAGACAATAGGATCCTGCCGGACTTTCTTGGAACCTTTTTCACCCAGGAAAGTTCCCTATTTTTTGTGCCGACCTACGGGAACGATTGAATCAGGTAAATCCCAACTGCCGAGCCAACGACGAATCAAGCACCGACCCTAAATACAGTTACGCGGATGTATTTCTTTGTCATGCTGAAACTTATAGGCTACGCTATGCTATCTATCACTCTACCGCCTTCTGGGGCTGCTAGCAAACTTCACGCTTTGCGAGGAACGAACTGGGGATTTTGTCGCTCTATTCAGGTTCACCTTTGAGAATGTTAATTCTGAGGAGTTTTAAAGCATAGGAGACATAAAGTTTGAAGGTATGGGAGACCTCAAAAGTTGATGGGAGACTATGCAATGTGGAGTTTGGAAATCCTGATGCGGGATATGGATTTTCAACTTGTACTCGACAAAATGGCGTCTTTGGAAAACGCTTTTTTCCGCAGGAAGTGGAAATAAAGTAGAAAATAGATCAAATGTCATCTGGGGGCTTTTTAAGGACTAAGCATGTTTGAAGAATAGCAAGTGTCATTGAATCAGGAACCAAAAGAGAGCTTTGAAGCTTGGGACACAATCAGAACCCATGGTCCGTATTTTGGAAGTTGCTCCTGGGAGCCTAGTCCTAACCTGTAGATCCGAGGAATCAAGCTCCCTTCAAGTTACTTATTCTCAGCCCTGTAGTCCCATCATGGTCCTGTAGATAAATAATCTGATTACAGTCATTATCGAAACCGGCTTGACCAATACAGTACACACATGATCACTCTTTTCTGCCCCAACAACCAAGTCCCTAGCGCCGATAGATCATTGAGAGGGCCGCTTGAAAACGAGGGACGCCGTAATATGCGCAATGTATGGTACAGTACCTAACTAGGTAAATTAACACTACGCGTAGGAAAAGTCAGTGGAACTCCATAGAAACCTACAGAGGATCACCGCCAATCATTCGGAGTGGCCTGTCTGTCCCGAGTCATGGATGATCTGCCTGCTGGCTCCCGCTTTTCTCCCCAAGCTGAGCATAAGTGTCGATCTTTCGCATACGTGCTGGAGCCTTCGCACATTATTTCAAACACAACGAGTGCGAAAAGCGCTATTCAATACTGTACCTTGCCCAACTTTTCTCCACTAAATACCAGCATCGCAGCTACAAATATCGGGTGTGTCTGCGGTGCTAAAAGCTATGCTTTGTCCTGTGAACATTACAATAGACAGCCAAATTTTCAAGTACCATTATCTATCAGGCGCGTGTTTTACGTTGGTAAATACCCTGGATCTGAACAGGTCTACGAAGACCAAGATTCAGGCTTCTTTTTCATCAAGGGTATGAACTTAGGATTACAGACCATTTTGTCCCTGACATTGGGAATTGAGTAAAAAAGAAATATCAGGAAGAACATTGAATTGGTATTATCATTGAAAGAAGCGAGTAACATTATTCCTCATCTCCATCCTTGCTAGTGCCCGCTGGTGCATCTGCTCTGCCTGATTGAGCTTTCCTTGCTCTCGATTAGAACCCCGAGGTTATGGACAATATCGAGAGTCAACGTATGATCCGGTCCAGACTCCTTTTCCCTCCCAGCTAGCGCTTGCTGAAATACCTGCTCCGCCTGGTCTAACTTACTTTGATCTCGGTAAAGAAGCCCGAGATTATCAGCAGTGTCGAGGGTCAATATATGGTTTGGTCTGAGCGCCCTTTCCCTCCCAGCTAGCGCCCGCTGGAGCATCTGCTCGGCCTGAGCTAGCTTCCTTTGGTCTCGATATAGAAGCCCGAGATGATTGACAGTGTCGAGGGTCGATGTGTGGTGTGATCCGAGCGCTTTCTCCTTTCCAGCTAGCGCTTGCTGGAACATCTGTTCCGCCTGGCCTAGCTTGCCTTGGTCGTGATACAGAATCCCAAGATTGGTGACAATTTCGAGGGTCGATATATGGTCTTCTCCGAGCGCTTTTTTCATCCCAGCTAACGCCCTTTGGAACATCTGCTCCGCCTGGTCTAGTCTGCCTTGGTTCTGATATAGAACCCCAAGATTGTTGACAGTGTCGAGGGTCGATGTGTGGTATGATCCGAGCGCTTTCTCCTCTCCAGCTAGCGCCCGCCGGTACCCAACTCTCGGAGCGCTTGTCGAGATGAGTTATAGGTCATTGGCAATTTCTTGTGTAGCTCGTAACCGTAAGGAGTGCGCTCAAGGCGGCGAAGAAGGGGGATATTGAGGACCTCTGGCTTCCAGCGTAGGGGAAGAGACCCACTCCGTTTTGGAACTCGCAGCCGCCAGATGAGATCTGGTGTCAGTTTTTCTCGAACGCACCATCACGAAAAGCAAATGAGACAATTTGCGCAATGGGGCAATATGCTAGTTGGTAATCTCCATGCATAAAAAATTTGGTTCTGGGACAAGAATTCTTAGCGGCAGATCAACTATAACTCTCAGAATGCAGAAGCCTTACCCATCGGCACCTTCTGGCCAACCTTTGAGATTGCGAAACTCAATGACAGCGCACAGCACATCCCGATTACTTCCACGGTCTTTCAAATAGAAAAGGTCAATGTATCGGTAGCAAACAGAGTCTGGGAGTTCTTTCAAAGACTTGTATTTGGGGAGATCGCTTTGAAACACTGGGCCTTGGTTGCGTTTCCCCGAGGACGACTCTCCTGGCAGGGAGCTATTTTGTGGAAGCAGAACGCCAGGACGGGTCCCGGTGATGGCGGACCAGAGTCTTAATGGATCGTGTAGTCATGCTAGCTATAAAGTGTATATCTCTCCTTGCCTCGGCCATTCTCTACTGCTTCTGGGAGCGTCATCCACTACGCTTGGAGTTCAGCTTAAATCTATATTAAAGAATTGAGCATGTCTAAGGTCAAGATTGATATGGTATCAGATGTACAGTAGAGATGGCTCCCGCCTATACATTCCGGTCCTGCCCGATTTCGGGAAATTGCGGAATAGAAGAATGGAAAAATTACTGATCACGATGGACGAGGGAGGCATGGGGCTCTCCAGGTAATACCAAATGCACGTGACATATAATTATTGTGGGGAATGCTTTTTTGCTATTTTTGGGAAGAACAACCATTTTGTCACTAGCCCCTGAGATTGGCTTGAGGTTCTGGCCAATTCAAGCAGCCGCATTTTTTAATCACATATTATCATTTCCCATATAATAATCCTCAAATTAGACACGCTGAATCTGGGTTTCCGTTATTGTCCATAGTAAATCGGAGTACAATTCGAGGCTCGAGTTGGCCGTTTCGGAGAGCGGATCGATGGGCCCAAGCGGTGGAGCAGCAGGACACCAAACGCTGACGCTGTGTAATGAACGTGGCCATTTTTGCGCCTGGTACAATGATGAGGGTCACCGCGGCGGAATGCTGTGCTTTTTTCTTGCCTACGATAGAATGGATAAACTGTGCTCTTTAGGAGTGTTTACTGTACTTGCTCCACGGGGCTATGACACCTGATAGCAGTTTATATCCTCATCTAGGAGAGCAAACTTTATAATGAGGACACTGATAGAGCATAGCAGCAATCCTTCATGTCATTTCGAAGGCTCTTTCTCTATCTCTTCACTTAGATAGCAAAAGTCCTAAATATAATGCTTTTCAACGCTGTGAAATTAGAATTTCATAGTACCTGCACGCATCACGCTCACGCAGTCCAAAATTGCATATTTTTATGTTGTACAGCTAATCAACTCATTCGAGTTATAACAAACGAACATCATCTCCACCCTAGAACGATTAGACCGTATTAAATCTATTGCTTTAAGAGACATAGGGGGTCATTGGGGTGATAGCTTGGTACCCCGCCCTTTCTCGCCTGACTCGCTCTGCCAGCTGCCAAGAACGCTGTAGCGCTGGCCAGCCCACAGAGAATGCAGAGAATGGCCACCGTTGCGGGACATCCGATAATACCGACAGCTCCCCGGTAGGAAAGACCAAATGAACTTGTTAAGATATCCAATGTGATCAGCATGAGTGTCGCCCCCAAGGATAACTGTGTATGGGAAATGAAATACTTAGAAAATCCACGGAACCCGCCAAAGCCCGCGCAAAACCCGGCCCCCCCAAAACTGGCCTGAAACACGAGTACCCGCTACAAAACGTAAAACAAAGTAAAAGGGTCTATCAAGTCGCCTCAATTACAATCTACCGTGCCTTACACCCCACCCCATACGTATCTTCAGTTCCAGCATGATATGGCTACCCAATGACTTTATCAATCTCGCCGAAAGTTCCCTCCCTCTACATCAAACCGTAGTGAAGTAACGTGACTCCATAATATCTATTCTCTTTTCGCTTAACCTAGAATACGTAACGGAAGGAAAGACTCCGATCTTCTCGTGGTGTCAAATATGTTCGTCGCATCACGATTTTCAGAATCATGAATTTTTCGTAGCATCCGATTCCTTCGTGGTATGCCATTTTTTCGTGCTATCCGATTTTTCCGTGGGGATTTTTAGTATCACGATTTCTAGTATCACGATCTGGCATCTCGGGGTTTTCGTGGCAATCCTTGGGCTTCGAAACCCCTCAATGACCAGGATAAATATTCTGCTACACTATAAAATTTTCGACGGTTGTTATTGTGAAAATCATGGAATTTCACCGTGACCGGAACGATCACAACTTGTACTTCTAGGTGTAATTAAACACAAATATTTCCTAGAACTTGAGACTGCAGAAAGATAAACAAACTTAGCTAGATTCACCTCGTCTCTATTCAGGTTCTTAATGTATTCATAAATTTTGTATCACAGATGTCCGGCTTCTTGGTAATAGCGCTTTGCACCCTCATGAAGCGGAATTGATGTTTGAGCCATCTTAGCAGGATCAAGTGGATAGGTCAAGGGAGACCTGTTGGGTTTGAGGTGCATATATTGACCTTCAATCGCAAACCTAGTCTCCACTAGGCACCAAGTCAAGAGATGGGCGACATCCTCTGGTAGGTCATCACGAACTAGAATGACAAAGTCCGAAAAGTCGAGCGTTGAAAGGGGCTCAGTGAGGATCGACCAGAATCCTGCCGGGATGGGATTGGTCGTCATGGCCGCCGTGTTAGGGTAATTCTTGGCGAAGCGCTCCAGAGCCGCTGGCTCCGCGTCCAGGGCATTATATTTGCGATTCTCCACGATATCCGCCCACCAGGGCGTCATGATAGCCTCCTGTAGCAGCGCATCAGCCTCGCCGGCCTGAATGAGGCCGATGGCCTGCTCAGGACGGTGCGCCGTGACATACTTGCCACCCCAAGACTCGAGGATCTCAGGTGTAATGCCATGGCATTCCATGAAAGCATAGGCTGTGTAGCCTATGAAGTTGGTGCCGTCGTTGGTAGACGTGGCAATGCGCAAAGGAGGTCGCTTCTGACGCAAGTCCTCGAATGATTTGATTCCATACTTGGGGTGGATGGCGAGAATCAAACGGTCATTTTGCGGCAGCACGCCGAGAGCACGCAACGAGGGCATAGGGCCGTGAGGGGCGAAGATGCCCTGTCCGGTGAGAGCAGTGCTTATCATTTGTGCGGGTGTTGCAATAGCAAGCTGTGCCTCCCCACGGAACACCTCCAGAACAGCTTCAATACCGCCATAACGTACATTCCAAATCCCCACACGACTATCCGGCCCTGCTCGATCGCAAAACTGCTGGGTCAACCATGAGCATATGCGATGGAAGTTGGCCATGCCCCAGTCGCCGACAAAGTTTAGTTTAATGGACCGTTCCAGTCGAGGGCCGCGGCTTTCCTGTTCGATCATGTCCTTCACATTGGGCGTGGCCATTCTTGTCTTTGAACGGGCGATTAAATGATAGGATAGATTTTAAACCTCCAACCTTCTGTGTCAGAAGGTCCAAGCAGATGAAAGAAGATCAGGCAGATGTAACCCGCAATAGTGATGTGAATTAGGAGGGGGTGTAGTCAAATACTAAGGGCACACCGCTTGGCAATCTTTTCAAAGGCAATTTGTACATTGCCCGATGGTTCCGTTCGTTCCCCGGTACGTGAATGGCTTCAAGCTCCACGGGATTTGGTCTTTGTGAAACTCATACAAATAAGATCATTGCAATAGGGACGAGTACGAAAGCGCTCTGAGTAGCTTGAGGAAAAGGATTGGTCAAGATCACCGTTTCGCGTGCTCGTGGAAAGCAGCCATTTATGTATTATTTGATAAAAAATGAAATGCACTATCTCTTTTCATAATAGTTAAAGAGCCTTTGACATCTTTAATATGCAAAATTCACTGGAGGGTTGTAGTGGTACGTAATATTCAAGCCCCGACATCCAGTTCTTCGGAATCCCGAACGGCCGAGCCCCGCGATGCGTAGAGATGTGGAGACTTTAGTGGGTGGGTCAGATGCTCACTTCTTTGGTTAAGTTTTTGTAAACACCGAGAAACCGAAACCAAGCAAACTTGGATGCCAGTACATGCTTTGAATCAATAACTTCCCGCTCTTTCCCCAGACCCCGGAATCGAGTTGACCTGATTTAACTAGCTGGGGAAATTGTTCAAATAGTTCTAATTGAGCGGTTGAACGATACGAATCCGGTACAGCATTTTAATCGACGGACCTCATTCCTCGTGTATTCTACCTCCTGCCTTGCAAGAAACTCTGTTCACTATGACGACAATGTTGGCTTTGCACGCGCAAGACGCCTCATCTGGGCTGGAGCTAAAGCAGCTGCCCGTACCCTCCCTAGGACCTGAAGATGTATTGATCAAAGTACACTCGGCGGGAATCACGCCAGGAGTAATGAAGCTCCTAAAGATGGGCCAGTCGGCCGTGCCAACCACTGTAGGCCACGAGGCTGCCGGAGTGGTAGAAGCTCTTGGTGAAAAGGTCAAGGACGGCTTGACTGTCGGTGATCGCGTGCGCCTCCACCCCATTCTGTCTTGCGGTGAATGCCACCAATGCCAGCTCGGATTCGACTCTATGTGCGACGAGGCGGCACAGATGGGCTTCGCCAAGTTTGGAGAAAGGCAAGGCCTCTATGCACAGTATCACAACGGGGCGCTTGCCGAGTATGTCCGCGTGCCGCGCAAGTTCGTTGACCGTCTCCCTGACAACATTTCCTTCGACATTGGCGCAAAGTTACACGATGCTGCCACTGCCTTGCGTGTCCTCAGGTTGGCTGAGATCAGCAAGCCCAACTCGACTATAATTCTCATGGCACCGACTGGAACGATGGGCACGGTGACGCTGAAACTGGCCAAGTTTTTCCCCAATATCAAGAAGATCATCCTCGTGGGCCGGTCAAAGGAACGCCTCGAATCCATTCAACATTTGACCGAGGTTGAAACCGTTACTTTTGTTATTTCGCCACCATCACAAGATTCCAAGCCTCCGTCCGGGCCTCCAGCGGGGGCCGCCCCTGGCCCTCAGCCTTCGCCGATCGTGCGCCAACTAAGGGAGCTGGCGCCTGAAGGAATCTCTGCAATCATCGATTACACCCCCGCTGGGCCAGTCCTCAACCAGATTCTACCAGCCCTAGCTACTCGTGGAACCATTGTCCACATGGGCGGGAATCCCGCGCCTTTGCAGATTCCGCTAGTTTTTATCATGAGCAAAGCCTGGCGCCTTGTGGGCAATCGTGCCCACACGAGGGAGGACGCTCAGCAAATTCTGGATTGGCTACAAAGTGATCAGCTTGTCTTATCTGACCTCATCACGCACCGTTTCCCGTTAAAAGAGGCTCATCGTGCTATCGATGCCATAGAGACACGGGATGAGCATGTATGGATGAGCGTCATCGAAGTCATTCCGGAGAAAGTCTAAGCGAGATAGCTATCATGAAGATCACACAAGAAATATATTCTGCGATCGCAGTTCTCTCTGATATCCCGTTGTAAATATCTCCCTGGTGGAAAGGAGAGTGTACAGGGCACACTAAAAGTTAACAAGGAATGTAAGGAGCTGAATTGTCTAGACGATGGAGAGACCTAAATAGTAGTAGGTGAGACCGACCTACCGTATTCCAATCTAACACTCCTATATTGTACGTCTCTCCAATAATACCCTCTAGAATCATACCTCTCTCCTATTTTACATCCTCCGCTAAACGACATTTTCTTTCAATGAAGGTTTGTACTTTATTTTCCGAGAGCCTTCAGTGACGAAGTTCCTACTCATTCCTGGCAGCAGTAGGATGTAGAAGCCGATGTGTTGATCTATTTCAGCAAAATTTAATCTTCTAGGGCTGCTCGAGAAATGTACGCATCCGAATAGCAACCAAGAAGATGTCCACCAACCGCGGCTAAGAGATGAGAAGTTACGGTTGAGTCTATGATTCAGTGGACTAAACAAAATCTTCGATCTTCGACGAGGAACAGAGTGTGACAAAACTTCAATTGTTTTCATTTTGAGCTGCCAGGCTCCAGGATGCTGTTAACACTGGATCTTAGAGCGCGACCTCTTTCCTAATGGCTTCCACCTTCTCTAATGTAGTCTCACTGGCCGCTTTACTGTAGGGGGCCTTCACCGACGCTACCTCGCTGGTCAAGATCACAACGTACTGAGACTGGTTCTTGCTGATGTTCGTGTATGCGCAGCCTTTGGGAATGCAGATGTAGTCTCCCGGGTGCAATTCGATAGTGCCACGCTGGGTCACCAGAGTGCGGGAACCTTCTAGCTGGTACTGTATAGCGTCGGCGCAACGATGACGGTGATAGACTGTTCCGTCTGTCTTGTCGAGATTGACGTTGCCAATCCAGACAGTGGCCGATTTGTATAACCACTCGGGATGCTGTGGCTGGCTACCAGATATGGCCGGAGTGACAGCGCGCTGGACCAGAAGAGCTTCTTCAGGCTTTGCGAACGACATGTTTTGGGCAAGAGATGGGTCGAGTAAAAACTCCTCGTCGGCCAAAGACACGGCCATGTCGCACCCCCGGGCTCCAAGACACTCAGTCATCATCTCGATGGCGGCCGGAGAGGCCTTCGTCCAACCAGGGAAAGGTCCTTCTTTCTTGACCTCCGATCGAAGCGTGACTTGACCAACGTCAGTCACCGGGGCAATGATATAGAAGAGCAAATGAACCTCTTCCCGGCCGAAATTGTCATGAGCCACACCGACTGGGATCCTTGAGAAGTCACCGGGGCGCAGCTCGACGCTTCCTAGCTCAGACATGAGCGTGCGTTCGCCCGAGACCTGGAGGGAGATCTCGTCGACGTCGGCGTTGCGGTGGTAAAAGGGCTGACGGGCATTCATCTGCTGCCACTCTAGACGCAATGTATCGCCGCAAAATACATCTTTCGGAGGTGAGAACCTGGCGGGGATGTAATCGTTTGGAAAATGAACTGCTTGGAGGAGATCATACTCGCGCCACATCTTTATGGGGGTTTCGGGCGGTGGTTGCAGCAAGAGGTCCTCTCGCCGAGGGATGACGCGGATTTTATCGGCCAAGGGCCAGGCATCCAGTAGCTCTGTGACAATTGCCATGTTGCAAAGTATAATTGAGAAATAGGCGTGGCACTTTTCTGGGGGTGAGGATGGCTCTATAAAGCTAGGTAGGCGGGGTACGGTAGATATATGTGGTGAATAGATGGGCATACTTAACATACATGCCAACCTCGCTTTGTGGCAAAGTACTCATCGAACGATGACAGGAAGTACATTTGGTAGAGCCAGTACGGAGGAGGCCCTCAAAAGTATTGCGTCGACCCACCTTACCAACCTTACTATATTAGGATAGGCTTAAGTGTAAGGAGGGAGTATTGGTATTATCTACTGTATATACATTTTACCCCTATATTTTTTCTCACGGCCTTCCTGGTACTCATTACCACCACCACATGCTATAATCTGCTGGATATGCCAAGGTATACGCTCTATCCAGGCCTGAATTTGCTGCTGAGGAAGTTCATCCCACGCTGATTTCCATGCAATATAAGCTTGCGCTTTGCTCTTTGGTCCACCTTTTCTTGTCGTGCGCCGTTTCATCCAGAACCAAGTAGGTTCAATCGCATTTAAATCAGGCGAATTCGGGCACCAGAGTAAGCGCTGTACTTTGTAGGTATTGTATACTCGCTTTTGGAACCAATGTGCATGCGCTGGTGCGTTATCCTCCTGGACTATCGTATCCGGTCGATCAATAGCACATTCTTTTGCGAACGGTAGCAATTTTGGTATTAAAATATGCTTTTGATATCGCCACTAGTCGATTCCACCTCGTGAAGTTCGAGATAATTTACCGGTTTTCTGATTAAACCGCCATTGAGGTTGACGACCTGGTGCTTGACGAAGATTTAAGCGTCGTACACCATTCGTAAGCTCCCACTCCTGACGAAGTTCAGGCTCTAAGATCTTATTCAATTCTTCAATAGCTTTCTCAGCTTCGCGTTTCTCGGCAGCGGTTTCAGGTGTCCAGCAGTGACAGGGTCCTTTATTATCGTAGGTAAAATAGCCCCAAAACATAAACTCCGAAGCACCTTTCCAGCGCTCGCGGATACAAGATCAAGAGTAGGCTTCACTCGGAGTTCGCCAAATTCGATATCCACCTCGTCGATGAAGTAAAATAACCGAAGTTTCGTCTGACTAGATTATATTCTTACAGTCTTCAATTGTCCAGTGTTGACGTTCTAAAGCCCATTTAAGACGAGCCTTCTTCATCGCTGGTGTCAATCCAGGCTTCCGAGTCGGCTTGGTCTTCCGAAAGCCACTTTTTTTTAGGATTCGGCGAACGGTTTCGGCAGATATATCGATCCCAAGCTTGCTAAGATCACCAGCAAGATCAGCACAGGATTTCTCCCGTCCATATCGATCAAATCGAACCTTCGAAATAACAATATCTTGGGTAGCGGTGTCCTGCTTTATAGGTCTTCCAGAACGTGGTTTATCTTCCACATAACGGTCATGAATCAGAGGATCTTCGTGTGGGTTAAAACCCCGCTCAATAGCTCGCGCGTATATGCGGTTCACCGAGCTGATAGATAGACCCGTTAGATAGGCAATTTCGCTACTTGATTTAGTAGTGAAGGCCCTAAGTGCCACGACCTGCGCGCGAACTGCCGTTTCGGTATGCATATTGGTTGGTTGGTAGGTTGGTAGGTTGGTAAAGAAAAAAAGCATAAGGGGGATGAGGGGTAGTGTGTTCTAATTTACTGTATTCGGTAGTATTTATTTACCGCTACTAATATGCCTCGACGCAATACTTTTGAGGGCCTCCTCCGTATTAGACCACACCCAGTAGAAAAAGCCCGCAGCCGATCTTTCCGGCTCTACCCCACGATCAGTGGATACAGCTCCCATCATCGCTTCCTCTCGGGGCAAGGCCGGGATCCTCGGCGCTTCGGCTTTTGGAGATGAAAATACGCACCGACGCAACGACATGATCTATCTGAAGGTCTTTTTTGCAGTTTCAAGCTATCTAGGTACATGCTTTTGGTCATGTAGCAGGAATAGACTATTATTGGCATCCCAACCCGGAGATCCCCGCCCGGCCACCGTTTATGATAACTTCCGGCTACACTCACGTGTTCCTTCCTCGAGGATTTGACTCTCGTGCCCAAGAAAGCCTCTTCTTGATAAATCTCATGGTTGCTGATTTCGCAAAATAGATTCACGAAGGCCAGTTATCAGTCCCGGCGAGAAAATATGTCCCCAGACAACTCTTTACAGCAGATCGCTGAGAGATCAGCCCTTGAACAAGCATACTATCGGAAACTTGTGGACGGCTCTCATATTCTCCACTACCACAACGTCCTCGATGCATACGGCCACCTCTCTTTTAGGCACCCCTACAAGGCTGACGTATTCGTCATGTCTCGTAGCGTTGCACCTGGGTCTATCTCCTCGGTGGGTGACCTCATCAGCTACAGAATTAAGGACGCCGAGCCGCTCGATCAAGGAGCGGCCAAAGGATACGCTGAACGCATGATTCATTCTGAGATATATAAGCGACACCCCCATGTCGGAGCTGTCGTGCACAGCCACTCAGAGGCCGTGGTCCCCTTCAGCATATCCCAAGTGCCTTTGAGAGCCTGCTACCATATGGCACCATGGCTCGGGACTGGGAGCAACGGCCCGAATAACGCGGCACCACCTGTCTTCGATGTGGCTGATTATCTGCGTCCTAGTGATGTGCCAGACATGCTCGTCAAGTCGTCTCATTTGGGTCTCGCTTTGGCAAAATGCTTTGATGGTGATAATGCCGTCACCTTAATGCGCGGTCATGGCATGACAGTTGTAGCCCCGAACATTGAGAGCGCTGTGCTACGGGCTGTCTATACTCAGAAGAACGCCTCCATCCAAACCACAGCTCTGTTGATGCAAGCCGCTTATTCTGGGAGTGGCTCCAGAACACACACTGCAAAGGATATTGGTGCTGCTGAGGTCAATGCCACCACTACCGGTGAGGGGATCGATCTTCATTATCTGAGCCCGGAGGAGTCTGCTGCGGCTACGGAAGCGACAATTTGGTCCGTTCAACGGCCCTGGGATCTTTGGCGTAAAGAGGTGGGGGCGTGCGGATTGTACTCGAACTCCATATAGTCGAAATATAAACTTGCAAGGCCGACTTCCTGATCCTTTCCTGTCATGGTACGAGGGGAGGGTAATTTGAAGAAGTTGTGTTTCGTACTAGAATTGGACATGCAAACGGTTGGTCATAGGAAGTCACTGAGTAGTAATTTTAGAGCGTCACTCGGATTTACTGAGGCAAGTGAAGAGATGTTTTACGTGCAAATATCACCTATAAAGCTTGCTTGGCCTTGGCCAATTGCGCAGCTCAATACAGATTGACGGCCCTGGAAGTAACCTAGTCCTCTTTTGTAAGGATCATTCACTATCTTGGCATCAGAAAAGAGTACATCATTTAGCTTAGTTGTTACGACGCGGGCCCAAAGGGTCTGTAGGGTCTGTCTGGGATTGGCTCGTCCGAGGAACTGGCCTCGGAACGTAGCCATACCCACTCTGCAAGAGGTTTTGCAAACGGAGCTTTCTGCCCGATGTACCCCCGTCGACCTAAATATAGTTCAAGTTGTGAACATCATTGACTGTTATAACCTTCAATTCAAAAGTAGAACTACGGCAGATACCCGTGCATTAGTCGGCCGCTGTAAGGTGCTCATTTGATATTTCTGTGGCTCGAAAATGGCCTCCAGCCCGCCTGGTCACTGCTGCACCACCGGATTCCAACATGAGTAAGTGCAACTTGAGTTTCTTTCTAGCCTGGTCCCAACAGTCCTCCTTGAATGTCTCCAATCTCCCTCTGGTTAGGGCTTGCCAACTTTGCTGCTTCCTCTTTACATTCTTCCCCAACTACTAGAGTCATAGGCTGACCGAGCTCGGATTCCGTCAGAGGAGAGCCGGTCGGATTGATGATCAAGATTGCAGATGGAATCAATGCTTATCTTGCAGCTCCTGCCGCTGGGCGGGAAAAGAAACACGGGGCGGCATTGCTGTATATTCCAGACATCATGGGCGTCTGGCAAAACGCCAAGCTCCTTGCTGACCAGTATGCGGCTCATGGATATCTCTGTCTTGTTCCCGACATTTTCCTCGGCGATTCCGTTCCTATAAACCGACCTTATGACTTTGATGTCAAGAAGTGGATCATGCAGGGTTCTGAGGGGAACTCTCCTCACACACCAGCCGTTATCGATGCCATTGTGAAGAAAGCCATTGTGTATCTCACCGGTCAGCATGGCGTTGTAAAGCTAGGCGCTATTGGCATCTGCCTTGGAGCTAAGGTCAGCACCTCTATCCGACCTTATCATTGACTTTATAGATGACTGAACCACTTTCGCAGTACGTTGCTCGTCACTTCAGCTCCGGAATAGCTGTGGGCTTCATTGCTCACCCAGCATTCATGGAGGAAGCGGAGTTGGAAAGTATTACCGGGCCGCTCTCGATCGCTGCCGCTGAGAACGACTATATATTCACCACCGCAAAGCGTCACAAGTTCGAGGAAATTCTCTCTAATAAGACGCCCAAGGTCCCGTACCAGATTTGTCTCTACTCGGGAACTACCCATGGATTTGCAGTTCGTTGCGATCTGAGTATTCCTGAGCAGAAATATGCCAAGGAGCAGGCGTTCCTACAGGCTGTCAACTGGTTTGATGAATATCTTCTTGGATAAGTGTTTGCAAAATTGGATTTGTTATTTGACACACGTATGCTGTCTTGAAAATGGATACCTTGTGAGCCTCAAGAAATTCGAGCTGCACGTCTCAAAGTTGCGAAGGAGCTTTTCTCCATATTGGTGCCAATATAATCAGAGTTGTACCAACTCTTACCTTACCATCGACTTATGGTGAGAAGTATCGAGTTTGGTAGTTTGTCACGAGCAACAGATTGTACCTGAAAGAACTGCTGACCGGAGCATTTACCACCATCTTATTGGTATTGAGTAGCGTGCTTTTTCCCGCCACAGTTGACAAATCTATATATAGAACTATGTAGCTGTACATCGGCATGAAAAATGATCATTTAGACTATGTATGAGCAAATTATATCTTCGTCACCCAAGTAGAATATCACCTTATCATAGTTTTCTTTTAGGTTATCATCTGGTGGCTTTTTAGGTCGTGAAGCAAAACGCTTTGTCAAATTACTTTGAAACAGTATGACCTTCAACATTCACCCTTTTAACCCCAACAACTCAAAGATAGCACCATTGCCAGGTTGAATACAATTCTTTCAACCTAGTGTCCAACTTCATCGCATTCTTGAACTGAGCTATGTCTTCGCTTTGAAATCCTTCCTCTGACCCTTGCTTTAATAGCAGCTTGTAGATGACTGTGAACCATCTTTTTCATGTAATAGGGATATGCCAAGTAATCGAAAGAAAACAGGCCATCCTGAGCATCCTTGGTAAGTTTCACGGCTTGCACACCATTGATTTGCATGCACGTCTACTCTTCGCACATCCTATTGCTACTCCTTATCATTCTTTTGTGGTATTGAATATTTTTGTGATACCAGTCATTGAATGGCTGACGGGTAACATCAACACTACAGTGCTATGATAATCAGGTCGTCACTATTTTGACATACACATTTCATATATATATCGGTTCTTCTGAGAACGTTGCCAATAATTTCATGATCTAAAATTTCAGGTTAGCCATACTATTTCTCAGACTGAGAGACAATATCTCACTTCAATAAAGTCAAAATAGATTCTCGTAATTGATACATAATAGTGACTTGAAAATAAATACTTACAGAGCTGTTTTGGGTGTCGACACGGCCACGGTATGCATAGAGCCTTAGATTACGTCAGTTAATTAAACAATAAGCTAAGCTAGTTAGCCAGCTCAATAAGCGACATCCAAAATAAAACACCAAGTAGATACGAGAGGCAAGCACGGGTCTAACAAAAGCTGGCTAAGTCGATCCTGATTCCGTAGGTTTTAGCGAGGTCTTAGCGGGGAATTAGCAGGGGTTGGGCTTTGGGTCGGGTTTTGCCCGGGCGGATTTAGCGGGGTTTGCCCGCGGTTTGCCCATGTCGTTCTTACCCTGCCGCCTGATAGAAGTCCAAACATATTTACCTAGGGCGTTGTTGCTTGTCATATTACACGTGGTAAATTCTTGCTAGAATTAGGAACCTCGCGTCCCACATGGCTTTTTGTCCCTCGGGGAAATGCCGGATAGCTCTGAAAGGTCGCATGCGAAAGTCTGACGTATCTATTTTGGGGTCGGCTCGAAGCTTTAGACTTAATATTTGTCTCCGTTAGTTATCTCACCCTTCTCGCCGCTTCACAAATCGCCCTTTATCAAATATGGCGGTGTTCTTAGACAACATTAGTCCTGCGAAGGCGACTCTGATGTGTGGTACTGCCGGAGTCGTTTCAAGCTCCGTATTTTACTGCATGAACACGACCATCAACTACTTGACCTTCCCGACAATTCTTCTGGGTCAGCCTCCCCGCCCAGGAGCCAAAGCCTCTGGGGACTTCTTTGTCCCCGTTATGAATGTCCCAGCGAGCAGCGTGTCGCATCTGAACCGACAGTGGCAGGAGATATACTTTAGAGGCCACCGCGTTGGCCCTGCATTGGCCATTATAGGAGGAACTGTGTTTAGCACCGCTGCATACCTTGCTGATCAGGGTTTTGTCAAGCAAGTCTTCGCAGCGGCTACTGTATCATCGTTTGCCATTGTCCCCTACACACTTTTGTTCATGCTCTCGACCAATGATGAGCTTCATCGACGCTCATTCGCCATCGTCAAAGATCCGTTGGCCTCAAAGAACATGGATGAATCAGAGACAGCTGCTCTACTATCAAAATGGCTTGCTTTGAACAAAATTCGGGCAAACATTGCTTTGTTAAGTGCATGCCTCGGTACCATCGGCATCATAGCCTTGAGCTGAGCTGAATAGCAAGTCATCTTAAACAATGCCTGATGTATTTAGCAACATTGACGGATTTGATATTACGATACTGTCATACTGCTGCTAAGATAGTACGCTCTGTAATGGATCAGATCCCCAAATACAAGAACTTACAGCTCCGTGGAAAGTTATGTGGTGTAACTGATTTTATGTACGTTCAAATTCCCCGGCTTTTTTCTACGTTTCCCAACCAGCATCTAACAGCTCGAGCCACAGAAAATTCAGTGCAGCTACAGGGACCTGGACCTACGCAGATAGATAGCTCGGTTTCGGATGAAACCCCCCCC